GTATCCCACATGCAAGTTCCCATCTCCTCATTTGACTAAAGCTTTGCTGAGAGTGGGCGCAAATGTGGCTGCCAGGGACAACGACGGCAACACAGCTCTGCACCTTACTGCGCTATTGCAGCCTTGGCGACCGAGTCTGTCGATCGATCTGCTCGACGCCGGCGCGCATCTCGACGCGATAAATAACGACGGCAAGACGTTCCAGATGCTATTGCCTAATAAGGAGCTTTACGATTCGATTTGTCCTCTGAAATACACTACACTCGCCTGTCTGGCCGCGCGAGTGGTCAAAAAGACGCAGAACATCAGTAGAGTGCCCGCACACCTCCGCGTTTTCGTTGAGATGCACTAGTTGCGATGAGACACCACCAGTGAAATGCCATGGCAAACACTTTATTCTAATCGAGAAAATGTGACGATTATGGAAAGCAATGGTGATAATTCGGGCGTTAATTTGAATTCATAATTCATTCATTCTAGCATCTCGATATTCTCTTTGAATGTCTTCCAACAAGAGACACACACATGACACGGTGTGACACGGAGTATCGTTACATACTTGTTGTTCGTCAATGTTAAACAAGGATGAGATAATCACTGTGTTGTACTGAGTCGCTTGTTGGAAGGCACCCCTTATCATGGGCTTATCGAAGAGGAGGATTTGGGGGTTCAAACTCCCCCCCCCCAAATTTTTTATTAACGATTTGATTTTGAAAGAGTCCCATTAGCGCACATCCTGCTCGTTGTAAGACTATATAAGTAATTTTTAATACTTCTGTTGGAGAAAATATTGCTTTAACAAAAAATACGATACATAGAAAATTTTCGTAAGGTTTTTGTCACGAAAAACAGAATATACGCTGTAATTGATACATTCTTGTAGTAACTGTATTATCCTTCTTAAAAGAGTCTTTAACAAAAGAAGTAAAAGTTACATACTGTATAAAACGTAACATTCTGCCTCTTCAAAATGAGATACAAGGAGACATTAAAAGTCGTAAAAATATCCAAATGAAATTCATTAATGTTAAAAATTGTAAATTATAACAACCAAATTAGTGCAATGACGTTCTTTTCAGTACAATATTCAGTACAGCAAAATATTTCTTTTGGTTGTTATTTCGATTAGTGAAAGTACATCCCTGGGTTGATTGAAACCCCCCCTCCCTCCCCGAAAAAATTTCACGGTACGCCCATGCCTATTATTGTACAGGATTTCGAAATCGTTCTGATTTCTAGTTATTTTTTTAAATGAGGACGATTTTGAGATATCTATATAATTCATGACTAGAGGGAGGAGGAGAGGAGAGGAGGAACAGGGATAAAAAGATTGTCCCCGAGGAGCACAAATCTTCTGACTAATGATATAATACGAAGCACACGTGATCCTAAGATTTTTTGACAGCTTCTCTCGTAACATATATAAAACATGTTTCGCAATAAGATTTTCGCAAACAAAAAATACTTTTTTATTTCAGTTGAGAACTTTCTTTTTATGCTTCGTAATTAATTTACTGAAAGAAAACTCCAAATACAAGCGTCTTTTAAAGCGGAAATTATAGATTTCGCTATTAAAAATTTTATATTCAATAAAGTGGAATAATATACACTTTACTTATGTATATACATATATATATTTTTTAATACGATTACGGTAATTCATAAAATATCTATTTTCATAAAAAGAATTTTAAAAAGATTAAAAAATTTAATGAGAACCTGGATCCATTTCAATTGATAATTTTTTGTTTTATATAATTATTTAATTAATCTTTATTTAAAAATTGATTGGAGATATTAACGCGTTTTTATCGAAGTAAAAGTTGTTGATTTATCAGCATTTTTATTTAAACCCTTGCTTGCCATTATTTTTGTTAGACTGAGATTAGCAACATATTTTAATAGATCTCTTTAGTATCAACGTGTGATGATACGAAAGAGAGGCTTTTCAATTTTGATGAATGAGTTAAATGAATATTGGATTGCAACAAAGTGATAATGCAGACATTGTGATCTTATTATTGCGAACTTGGCTAATTAGGCCTCTCCCTTATACATAAACCCC